AGCGGGGAGGCTCAGCACCGCCCCCAGGACGTGGGTCTGCCATCAAGGAGGGGAGCCTGGCGCTGGGAAAGCCGAGATTCTCCCAGCAGGAGCTCGCTGGCATCTCCCTTTGCCGACTCGGGCCCTGGAGGAGAAGGGCCCGCTCTCTTCCGTGCGCTGTGTGCAAGGGAATGGACACATGCGGCTGCTTGGAGGCCGTGCTCTAATAAAGTACTTAGAGAACAACTGATCGCGCCCTGGGTCTCTGGGGAGACCTTTGCTGTCCACCCTCTGAAGCTGCCTCAATACATGCCTCTATGTTTCACAACTGCTTCTTCACCAATCCAGTGAAGTTAATTTACACTTCACCAGATTGTGTGAACCTACAAAAAGGCCAATTTGGGAACCAGGTTAACTGTGTTGTGTGAATCCAGTGAGAGTAGCTGGGTCCGCACAACATGCTAAAGTCTGGTTATCGAAACACAGCTGCTGCGTTCGCACAGCAGGCTCTGCCCAAACAAATCACTCCCGAGGGAGCCAGTGCTGGCCGGGCTTTCGGCCAGATGTTACCCACAAGCTTCCCGGCTACATTTGGGCCCTGCCTTGTCTAAGCCCCTGCAGAGAGCTTGGCCTTAGGGGGCCTGAAAGGAAGTGACTGAGACAGAATCAGAGCTGTAAGGGCTACCACAGAGGGCGCCCGATTCCAGCTGTCACCATCAGAAACTGCCCTAAGTTTCCACCCACCAATTCTGGTCCTGCCTTCGGGATGGCAGAGAACAAGCCCGCTCCCTCCCAATGACGACCCTCTAGATATCAAAGCACCAGACTGCATTGCTCATCGAGTCCAACCCTCTGCCCAGCAAAGGTCCGCTGGAGCCTTTCTGACAGAAGACCATCCAGCCTTGTTCTGAAGACTCTAGCGAACAACTCCCCACTTCGTGGGGCAGCCACTTCCACCGGTCAGGAAGAACCTCACGACCACCAGCCTGAACTTCCCTCCCTGCGATCCTGCCCTCTGGGGAACAGAGAAGAAGTCTGCTCCCTCTGCACACGCCCCCCTTCAGATATCTGGGGGCTGCTGTGCTCTCCCCCTTCCCTCTTCTCTTCTGCAGCTAAACTGCTCCTCACAGGGCTGCTACGGACCCCCCTACCCCCACTTCCGACTCCTCAGTCCTTCAGTGAAGCTGGATCCTGGGACGCTCCGAGCAGTCCGAAGGAAGACCTCCTCCAGGGTCGCCTTTGAGAGCCCCTTCTGCGGGAGCCATCTCTGCAGGGCTGGAGATGCACTGCCCTCCATAGTGAGGCCAGCTCCTGCTGGGGGGCTTTCAGAGACACCCAGCCGGCAGAGTGTCCAGCCCCATCCAGCACCAGGCTTCTTCCTGGGCACTTCAGGAAGGCTGGACAAGCACCCTCAACAGCAGCAGGCAGGCAAACTGATGGTCACCCCCCTCACCCAGGCGCAGGGAGACACTCACCCGGACCCTTTTGGCCATGTCAGCAGCACTCACACCCTCCGCGGCTTTCGTGCCAGCCCGGATCACTGTGGAGGGAAAGGGAAAGTGAGGCCAGCCAGAGAGGACTGGACTGCTGGAGCCTCAACTGGTCAGAGGCCAGTCAGAGGGTCAGAGCAGCAGCCCCTGGGAGGGCTCTGCTTTGCGTTGCATCAGGCGTCTCCCCAGTCAGGGCTGGACCCGGGAGCCCCGGGGATGAGTCAGGGTGGAGGAGCCAAGGGACCGAGAGGACCGCTCTGGGGCACTGCCCACTCACAGCCTTCTCGGGCCAGGTAGAGGTTGCGGGTGCCAGTCGGCTTTCGGGCCTTTGTGCTTCGCAGCTGCTGGGCTTCCTCGCGGCTGACGGCCAGGTCCACTCGGAGACGGCGGCCACCCAGATGGAGCCCCCGACCCTTGTAGGAAGAACAACGTGGTGTCTTGTGGGTTCAAGGACAGCATGTGCCCCCCTCCCATCACCCCACAGCGTCCTGGTTTCACCTCACTCTCATCCTGTGCCATCTGCAGACACTTCTGGGCAGCTCCCTGGGTGGCAAACTGGGCAAAAGCACAGCCTGGGGAGGGCAAGAGAGAGAGAGGGGGGCATTGGGGGAAGGAAACCAGGAGATGATGTGAGGCGGCTTCTGAACTGCCACTGCGGGGGGCAAGGAAAAGATAAATTTTTGTCCTTATTTTTCCTCTCTACCTCTTCCATTCAGGCATGGGGAACTGAAGGAGTGCAAGGGACTTCCCCAGCGCCAAGCGGAGGATGCCCTGACTTCTCTCCCGGGGATGGGGTCTGCCAGCCCCACCTACCTTTGGAGTGCTCCGTGTCAGGGTGCAACACGATCCGGACGTATTTCAGGTCTCCAAACTGCTCCAGCAGCTCCCCCAACTCTTCGTCTTCAGTATCAAAAGACAAGTTCCTGGGTGCAAGCAGAGGATGGCTCCCTCCACATGTGTCCTAACACCCAGCAGCGGGAGGGAGGCAGCCAGATTTTTCTGGCAGAGTTCTCCAGCTGCTGCCAAGCGTGGCCACCGTCTGGGGCAGGAACAGCTCAGGGGCTCTCATCAGACAGAAACAAGGAGGCCCTGCTGGGCTGGAACACAGCAACCTGGAGCCCCGGGAGGGTGCTAAGCCCCCAAGCCGACCCTGACCCACCTGATGAAGACAGTCCGGCCCTCTGCCACATCAGAGGGGCGCTGCTTCTGCTTTGGGGCAGGTTCATCTCCTAAAACGAGAGGGGGGAAGCAGGCGTTGGCCAGGGTTTCTCTGCGGGCAACGTTAGACCCAACCACCAAGTTATTGAGAGGCCACAGAGATAGTTCTGAAACTCCCAGGGCGTAGATATCAACTCTCCTCCCTCTGGGACCCCCGCAGTAGCCTGACCACCCTCCAGCGCATCCTGAGCCGAACAGGCACTGAGGCTCGCAGGCGAGTTGGTTTTAGCAAGGCGGTGCTTAGGGGAAGCAGAGCTCTCTGAAAGGCCGTTAGAGACAGTAGCTAAACAAAACTCCCTGTCGTGGTGGGAGCACCTTGAAAGATGCGGAGTTATTCTTTGGCCTACTCCAGGCGGCCTCTTCTTATGCTTCTTCAGGTATAAGCTGATTAAAAGAGTGCAAACCCTCCACGTCCAGTCCTTCCGAAGCATCTAAACCAACCTCCTCCTCCTCCTTCCTCTTCTTCAACACTATCATCTTCCTCCTCTGAACTCCCAGCCTCGCCTGGGTCCTGCTCCTGCACCGTCGAGCCAACTTCCTGCTCCTCGTCCTCACCAACCTCCTGCTCCTCATCCTCGCCAGCTTCCTGCTCCTCGTCCTCGCCATCCACAGCTGGAATCTGATGCTCAGGGTCCCTACAAGGAGGATTGTAGGGAGGGATTGGCAAGAGAGCATTTCTGGGAGGCTCTAGGTGATGAAACCTGGGAGTTTGCCGGCTTTGGGCAAGAAGAGGAAGCGGGATAGCCCCCTACTCTTAAAAAGATAGCTCCAGCAGACCACAAGCACTCCCTCGTTTACCAAAAGTAAACCCGTTCCGACAAGGCAAGCTACTGCATATAAACGGAGAGCAAACCCCACTCCCTTCTGGCACTGAAAACGTTACCTAGACAGGTAACGAAACGCCTGCAACAAAACAGCCAAGCTCACAGAACCCCAAGGACTCTGCAAGCCTGTTCCTTGCGAGCAGTGAAATGAGGCCTCTCCAGGTTCCTTGCGGCTTACCTGCCAGGCCTTCCTGGCCCCGGAGACTCCGGTCTTCCTCCTTTTTCTTCACCCCCACCTGCACCTTTCTGCTGGGCCTTCCTGACTTTCTTCTCTGAGGACGGACACACCGCAAAGAACATGAGGAGATATTCTGCCACCATAAGCGAGGCTGTGCTGCAACTGGGCTGGGATGAACCTGGCCCTCGTGTCAAACCAGAATGGGGTTTATTTGGTCACAGCAAGGTGTGAAGCCAGCCACTCCAAAATTTGGCTGCAAAAGATCCCTGGAAAGTCTTTTTACAGTAAAAACGCAAACGGCGAAGACTTTATGGGCAGAACGGAAGCACCCACCACCCAGGGTCCTCCACTGTCCATCTTGATTCACACAGGACGGCACTCACCAGCAGGAACGCCTTCTGCCTGCGCGGCCTGGTACTTCTCCCGGGCTACAGCCCAATCTACAGCCACCGGACGCTCTGCAAAAAGGAAGGGCAATGCTGAGGCTGGCTGGAGGTGGGGTTAATACAGACGGAGAGCCACCAGACTCAGGTGGTGCTTACTGGGAGGACAAACGGGTCACCCAAAGCGTCTCAGTGCTTGAAATCTCCTTGGCCATCTTCAAAAGCTCACACGCCTTCAACCACCTTAAGGGCTGCCCTATGTAACTGCCAAAGCCGACCCTCCGCGAGCCAAGAAGTGCCACTGCAATGGGGAAAACAGATCTAGCGAACAAACTGGAGGCTGCGCCCTTTTCCCCTTCTGTCTTTTGGACGTGACCGGGACCAACCCGGTTCCTCCCATCAGAGCCACGCTGACCCTCCCTGCCCCAGACAAAGCCGCCCTGCCATCCCATCTAGACCAAAGCCTAGAAGCCTCACCCCTGCCAAGCCCAGCCCCAGGGCAGCCCTAAGAAGGGCCCGGCAACATAGCAGCCAGCCGAGAATCCCCAGCCTTCCATCCTCCATCAGCCAAGAATCCCCAGCCTTCCATCCGCCATTGGTGATGACCTCAACCTTCCATCCCCTTAACAATTGAATTCCCCGGCTCGGCTGCCCTCCTGAAAGGCCCAAGAATGGGAATAAGCCCATTCTTAGAGCTTGGGAGTTGGACAAGGACCGGCCCATCAGATCCCTAGGATTTCCCGCCTTGCAGCCCACAACCTCTATAAAAATATTTGCTTTTCCGTTGTTGCGGGTCCGTCTTTCTTGTAACACACCCCACACAGAGTTCTCCTCCTCAGTGTTGTGCTCCTCACTTCCAGGACACCATCATGTTGCCGACTCTCAGCCTTGCACAGAAGTGAAGACTGCACGCATGCATGCACAGCAAATCCTCCCCCCAAGGGTGGGATCTGCGGAGGCACAGCTGTTCCCCTCCTGCCACTCTTGGGGCACCCCAGCACCAGAGAACAGATGTCCACCCAGAATCCTCCTGACTTGCTGGCAGGCCTGAATGGGCTGCAGGGACTCACCCTTGATCTCCTTCATGTTCATCCCCTTCAGGGCCTTCCCCGCTTCCAGGACGTTCCTGAACTGCACAAAGGCGAAGCCACGCAGCTTTCCATCTGGAAGGTGAGATCAAGCGCAGAAGCTGTCTCTGTCATCCATTTGCACGTTCCCTAGACCGGCTTCTCCCCCCGCCTCCCAGAACTACAGCTTCTGCCCCCCCAACAAGCCTGCAGAGCGATCAGGGCAAAGCAAGCAGGGAGAGGAGCCCCCTTGTCTCCCGATTCAGCCGCAGAGAGGTGGTCCGGCAACAGTCTTCATCCCTGCTGCTCAGAACGGACAGCTGCCAACCGAGACGCCGTGAACGGACGCACGGCGCGTGGCAGCCCTGCGTGCAGACCAAGGATCCCAGGATTCTCAGCCTGTCCCACAACGGCGTCGGGACCGTCTCTTTCCCTCCATGTTTCCTGCCACTTACCTGGTTTTCTGGGGAGGGTGGCTTCCAGGACGGTGCCAAAGGGAGCAAATGCACTCTTCAGGTCATCTTCGGTGCACTGAGGGGAACCGAAAAGCAAAAGAGATCAGAGGGCAAAGAACGGCTCCACCGTAGGGCTATCCCAGAATCTGCGAGGCCTGCGCCAGAGACGCGGTGCAAGTCCCGGTCCCAGTCCCCGCGGCACCCGAAACCGGCAGCCTGGCGGCGCCGCAGCCGAAGGACCCCCTACCTTGAAGCTGAGGTTGCGGACGATCAGCCTGGCCTTCTTGGAGGGGCCCTTGGCCTTGAGGGGCCGCTGTGCTGGCTGGGGCGGCTCGGGGGGAGCACCTGGCGCTTTAAGAGAGACGCGGAGGCAGATGAGGGGGAGGGGGGCCGGGGCACGCTCAGCTCCGGAAAGGCCCGGGCAGGGGGGGA